TGGATGGGGACCCCGAGACGGGCCACATCAATGGCTGGAGACATTGTCAGACATGACCCAGTCGCGCCTTCAGTGGCGCTCATGCATCCAAGCTATTGCCTTCAATGCACAGCTCCTTTTCCAACCCCCCTCCACTTGACAGCCCACTGACAGTGCTGGACTTATGCACCAACTTACCAGCTCGCGCCTGCAATGCGCAGCTACCTACCCCCTCCCCAAATCATCGGTGAACGAAACTGCGGCAGCTGCAACCATTGTACGACGAGTACGCGGTTATTACATCTGATAATGAAGATGATGATGACTTCTTAATAATTTTGGGCAGCAAATCGACTGTACTGTAGTCAGATGGTCCTGAGGTAACTGGCTTTCTGTGGATTAATTTTGAGACTACCTGATTCATCATCATTACCATCAGACAGCATGACGATGATGATGACTTCTTAATAATTTTGGGCAGCAAATCCCTAAGACTGTAGTCAGATGGTCCTGAGGTAACTGGCTTTCTGTGGATTAATTTTGAGACTACCTGATTCATCATCATTACCATCATCATCGACAGCATGAAATCATCATTTAACACCGATGATTCGTTGCCGCACAACCATAATTTATGCGAAAGCCTTATGATGAAGAAAACAGTCAATTTGGGCGCGAAAGGGACTTGGTGCTAGCCTACTACAATCATTCCGAGGTGCCTACACCTCCAGACACTCATTCAGGCTTCCGCACGGAAAACAAAATTCTTTTCGAAGAACGATGGTTCACACAATACATAGCCTAACCAACGTAGCTTCTGGCGCTGGACACAGTCCTCAGTGAAAATTCTCGTTGCACAACCGAAAACTCGCTTTTTAGTTGCCTCGTTACAAATTCGCCGACACCAGCCCATACAAGCTATCATCCTGAGCCAACTATTATCAGACACCTGAAGACGTCCTAGTTCCACTGTTCGAATGGCCAAGTCTTAAGGTCATACAAGAAAAAACCGTGTTGGAGTCTGATATATATGTCCCTTGAGAATCAGGGGTTTACCGCTTTGACACCATAGGTGTCTCAAATTAGCAAATGCGACCAGAACCATGACTCATCTGTCACACTAAAATCAGAAATAACACTTCTGGGATACGTAAAACGCTCCCCCTGGATTGTAGGTGGCGTGTTCAGTGAGTGAATGTCCACGAGCATGACCTTACACTTTATGGTGCAAGGTGCACACCAAAGAACGGTATGACTTTAGTCAGTTCATCCAAAACACCTGCTCCTTTCAGTTAACCATGAAATTTGTTTTTAAAA